GCTGCTAGGCTTCCAGAGGGATGCCTGATTGCCATCTTAGGCCCAATCCCCTGGGGGGAGGACTAAGCCAGCAAGTGGTCATCCTCCGAGGTGTCCCAGACTGCGAGAGGGCACAGGCCGGGCAGAGGGACACCCCCCCTCCTCAGTGCACAAATTTTTGTGCACTGGGCCTCTAGTATGCTAATAATATGCTAAGGATGCTCAACTGCTCACTATGATGTGCACTGACCACCAGGGGGCAGACTCAACTGGTTGACCAGTCACTATGATGTACATTGACCACAAGGGGGTAGACGCTCTGCTGGTAGGTTAGCTTGCTGCTGGGGTCCGGCTGATCAGGACTGAGACAGGCTGGACACGCCCTGGAGCCCTCCCCCGTCCCTCCCTAGGCCCAATCGTGCACTGGTGGGGTCCCTCTGCCTGGCCTGTGCCCTCTTGCAATCTGGGACCCCTCGGGGGATGTCAGAGAGCCGGTTTCGGCCCAATCCTGCAGGCCAGGCTGAGGGACCCACTGGTGCACGAATTCGTGCACTGGGTCTCTAGTTTATTAATAAGCATCACACAAACACAAGGTATGTTTGAACCTTTTATTCATACAAAGGGCATGTTTCCCCCAATTTCTAAACTGTTAAATAAGTATAAAAAAATTCATTAGTTAATGCCAGTCAAGTACATGCAAAATTAAAACATTTAGGAAGTACTTTGCTACATAAAGCAGTTCCTATACTTCTCTTTTAACCCATTTACTAAATATACCCATTTGTACTTATACCCAGTATATGAAATAAGTATAACATTAAGGCAATCCTCCTTATAGACACAAGCTGGTATCTAATTAATGTTATTGGTAACCAGAAAGTAAGAACCTACTTACTAATTACCAGGGAAAACAATCAAATTGGAGGGGGCAAGAGGACTTGCTGGAGACACTATCTATTGGTGAAACAGCAGAGCTTAGTGGCTTAGCAGCCAGCAGAGCATCAAAAGTACTTAGGTCAGGCAGCTCCTATCAGATGATGTCCAGTGCAACACAAACCACTCCTCCCTCCAGCCCACCTTGCAATTTCAAAACATTCCCAAAGCCAAAACTTAGCATGACAGGGTCCACAATTTGGCATTAAAAAAAGCATAAAACACAAGGTATCTCCTACAGACCTTAAAGTATGTGGAATTACAAGTGAGAAACACGAATCTCCAGACTTGTTTTTTGGGGAGTGATGAGTTGTCATTAGACATGTCATTTTCTTCTGTCACATCCCATAAAAGTCTTCAATTGAATAAAAGAACATTCAAGAATAGGAAGTAAATTAACCACAATAAATCCTCATCTGTCTTAAAGATTAAGATAAATAAATCTGCCTATAAACACAGATTTTATTTAACATATTCAGTTTTAAGAGATAACCCACATTCCTTCAATATAAAGAAGCTTGTTTCTTAGATAACAGGTGGCACCTGAATTACAATCAGCCTACTGAAATATTCAGGGGCACACCACACCCAAACAAACTCAAGCCAATCAAGAAGTAAAAGCAATCCAGTCCCACCGGTTAATTGTCTAGATTAATTCATTTTACATTTTCACTCTCAGCCTCATGAATATTTTATGAGAAATCCACATAATTTCTTTAGAAGTAATCTCTATTCACTGGTATATTTTTATAGTCCAATTTACCTCCCTCATCCTTGCTGGACCTTAAAGACTGGATCATTACCACCCATAATAATTACCTTTATGAACATAAGCAACTTGACAGGAGAAAAAAATGTAGACATAAAATAAAGCCAAAAAATCCTGTGAGATACCACTAAATTTTTAAATATTAGACTATAGCCAGCCGTGGGCAAACTACAGCCCGCGGGCCGAATCCGCCCCGTTTGAAATGAATAAAACTGAAAAAAAAAAGACAGTACCCTTTTATGTCATGATGTTTACTTTGAATTTATATTAGTTCACACAAACACTCCATCCATGCTTTTGTTCCAGCCCTCCGGTCCAGTTTAAGAACCCATTGTGGCCCTTGAGTCAAAAAGTTTGCCGACCCCTGGACTATACCCTTAAGACCTGTTATAAACAAAGGTGACAGACAAGAGAAGGCTTTTGTTCACTTTAATACTATTAAACTCAGCAGTCTGAAACTAACAACACAAGAAAACCTATCTCACCTAAAAACTCCTATACGGTCCAGCCAATGTGGCTCAGTGGTTGAGCGTTGACCCATGAACCAGAAGGTTTTGTTTAGATTCCCAATCAGGGCACATGCCCAGGTTTTGGGCTCTGTCCCCACTAGGGGGCATGCAGCGGGGACAGCTGATCAATGATTCTCTCTCATCATTGATTTTTCTACCCCTCTCTCCTCTCCCATCCTCTCTGAAATCAATAAAAATATATTTAACAAAAACAAACAAAAAACACACCTGTTTGTATTATAATAATATTCTGATATTTTATCCAACAACTCAGTTCTAGGAAATTTCTGTAAACTAAAGCATCTGGATTAAGCACCTCTACAAGTTCTCTCCAGATGGAAAGAATTAAAAGAGTGTGCATCACCAAAATACATTTCCAAAAAAGAGTCAAACAAACCAACACAGAACACCTCATTTAATTTGGTAATTCATTATGATGGAACCAGCAAAAATTCACCTTGCTAGACTACCAAATTTAAAAAAACAAACAGTATTGGTTTAGGTTTTCCTTTTCTACAAATTACCTGACAGCCCATAAGAGAATAATTCTGAATCTTTTAGTATCAAATTTTCTTATTAGGAGATGTTATTAATACAAACATCAGTTAAAATAAGTTTTATAAAATTACAGTAATAAATTTCCACTAATTCAGAAATATTCCTTTACTCATTATTCAGATGGAGTTACTTTTATACATGCACATTTGTACACTTTGTAACTGAATAAACATATTAATTCTATAATACATACTAAAAATTAAATCAATGTGAAGTATAGTCAAGTCTAATTTCTAAATAAGAACTATCATCTGGCTCCCTAAACCTCAGGATAATGAGAAATACTGTTCTATATAGTTCCCCTGACAAACTCATCCACTGAAATAGAGATAAAAATCTAATTGAAGCAAATGTCATTGGAAAGATTCGGTTTTACATGTATATTCTATCTTTTGGTTTCAACTAGGACTTAAGGTACAAGCACTTAGCAAGTTTTTCAAGAATCCTTCTAAATGCATAGAAGATAAAGTTAATTGCATACAACAGATGCCTTAGTCATTAGGACTCATTCTCTACAAAGACCTAATTAAGAAAGACTGCCACAAGTTCCTGGCTGCAGCTAGACCCAATTACCCTAACCACAAAAGTACTAAAAGAACTAAATGCAAAAATTTAGGGACTTAGATAAGAAAATAGATAAATGCTTTACCTCTCTAACTTTCAGCAACTCAATCTTTTTCATTTGCTTATTTACTATGACTTAATAGCATGGGTGTCAACTATTTGTCCTCTGCTCGGAATGGAATGTATTTACTTTAAGAAAATAAACCCATACAGGTATACCGACTCTTTGTTAAAGGAAATCAGCCCCCCCCCCCAAAAAAAAAAAAAAAAGAATGAAGATAGTAATCAGTATACTAAAGAAATAAGAACTATTAACTTGACAAGCCTTTTCCTACTTCCCCTTCTTTAGCAAGCTTTAAATATACATCTTTTGATGATCATAACTGCTAAATACAAGTTTTCACTTAAAAAACAAGTATTTTTAAAAACCAGCTTATCTTTTATTATTGCACTAATCTCCCATTCTCAAGAAACTGTCTTTTGCTATTCCTCCATGTGGTGACTACAGTACCTTCAGCTGCATTAATTATAATCAAATCAAAGGAAGGAAAACACTAGTTCTTTAACGAAAACAAGTATTTTTTTAACTGGCCCAATTTTAGGAAGCATTAAGTACTTTTATTTACACAGCAAAATGACTTTATAACAAATAATTAAAATAAGGTAAAGAGTTGTTCTATACTGAATGTGCAAAGCAGTACTGAAAAGATGGGAATGTCGTGTTTAGTTTTTTCCATTTTTAATTTATGCCAACGTGAAGGTGGACAGTACAGAACATCAGCACAGATAGCTAAATTACATTACTGGACATCCCACTTTACCAACTGCCTACTCAAATTTCTCACGTTTATAAACATGAATACAAAGGGCAAAAAAATGGAGGGGATGGTGTGTGCAGTTATCTGTGCTCAACTGTGAGTGTTCTATCAAGATACATAATGTAATGAGATGGGAATGTTTACCCTCTACACTGTATCTCTACAGCATCTCTAGAATCTACAGTATCTCTAACCAGATAACTCTTTTCCCCCGCCCCCGTTAACTGGGAGGAGGGGTGTCTTGATGCGTTTACTATAACTGTTTTGAGGTAGAGATGATCACCATAAAACATAATTGAACAATTCAAACTCATTTTCCTCAAATCAAGTGCACCCTTCCTCCCGTTCCTACATAAAGACACATCACTCAGCTACTAAAAATTTCCATTCCTCACAAGTGACTTTTCCTGAACTCAAGTCAACACTGCTTTGCGCGGCGCCCAGGCTTTCGACTGACTGCACCTTGTGGGCAGAGTTGTGATTACTACTAATTCGTCTCCTTAAACTCTTTTCCATTTTTTTTAAATGCTGTCCCGATTAAGCAGGACTCACATTAACCAGTATCTAAAGTAGACGTTTACTGGGGTGAAAAATACACTTTCCATTAATATATCCATCCCACTCCCTTGTGCACAGTAGGTGGGACTATTTGCAAACTTAAGAATTAGTTTTATGTATATTAACCACCTTCCAAACGAGGTAATTCCCTCCATTTTCAAGCACTCATGTTGATTCGAGACCCTCTGACTTTTGGCCTTTAGAAACTGCTCTCCACTTGAGTCCCAAGACAGAACCACATTTAGCAACGGGTCTTCTGACTTCCTGATACCCAAACCCACAAGCGCCAGGACTGCTGTGTCCGTTCGTTATAAAACACTGTTTGCGCCTTTCACCTTCCGGGGAGAACCAGGGCTTTCCGCCCCGGGGCGCCGCTGGGAGGGGAGGGTCACGCGTTTGCAAAGCAAACACCGGGGTCTGGCCGAGCGGCGTCCGGGGGGTTAGGCGGCGGCTCTCCTCCCCGGAGGCTGAGCCGGCCGGCAGCGCTCAGGCTGAAGGAGAAAAGAAGGTAAAAATAAACGCCGCC